ATTCCCTTTGAGCTAAATTATTGACCTGTTTCCCTTACACATATACAAATAATTTTTTGTTGTAAGGCCTGCTCTCTTCTTCCACCATGCCATCTGTTTATAAACTTCTCCGTTTCTCCATCCAGTACACTGCAGTATTTGCAGAAAAAATATATATAAAAAAATGTCAGTCTGGTATATGTGGCACAAGTTTGCCTATTTAAACATGAAGCTGGTTATCCTAACTTAGCATAAAGACCAGGTAGGAAGAAGATGGATAGAGAGAAAAAAAGCTACCATTATATGTGGTTAAACAGTAATTTCAGAAATTATTCAGACAAACCATTATTTTTATTTTTATTTTATTTTTTGTTTTTACAGACTTTTTTATGTTGTAGACTTAAATTTAAACGAATACAATTTTACAGTTTAAAAATGACAAAAAAAGAAAACTGCCTATAAAAGTTTGGGCACCCTGCAAGGTCACTACTTTGCAAAGCACTCTTTGGCAAGTATCACAGCCTGTGAAATGGTACAGTTTACAGCTATTTGAGAAATAGAGTATATAAAATGTAATATGTAAAATGTCAGTAAAATTAATAATATTAATTTTAGAATACTTGACCACTCACAACACCCTGACTGAAACAGTACAACAAAATTAATCTTAAGAAAGTATGTCCTAGCCCATCTGATTTCAATATACTAAAATAAACCATATATTTACACATCTAAATATAACATTCTATTATTTACATGGCACAGGTAAACTCTTATCAAATTATCTTGAGAAATCTGACAAAACAATTATAAAAAATTGAAAAAGCAATCACAAAAAGATTAAAAGAATAGCACAAAGGCACATTACACTATTCACAAATGTTGTTTAATTACATTATTAAATTCCACTAACCAACTACAAAATACATTTTAAAAACAGAATGGATGATGTTGTAAAATAAATAAATACATACATACATACAAACATTAAAACTGCTGCATGGCATATATTTAATGTACCTAAATACAAATATTGAGAATGTGTTTGACAGTCAGCTGAAATAAATATACTTACAAAGCCAAAGACACTGCTGTGGAGCCTTTGGGGAATCGGGGTGTAGCAGCTACTGGCACAAAAACAAAGGGGAGAAAAAGAAAAAGCATCCCTGAATATGAGTCAGATAATACATATATCTGTACAAATTGAAATGTACTGATTTTTAATCAATGATTATTGGCTGATCAGTGTGTAATATGTCAAATATCACTTACTTAGGGTAAGTGTACCCATTAAGCCCATTTACCATTAAGCCAACTTTCAACTTTTCCCTCTATCCCTCTAATTACAAACTTTGATCAATTTTCTGAGTTAAAGTGTTTAATAACAGTTCTTTGTGTGCTTTTAACTTACTAACATTTTACCTTAACTTACTTATTACAGAGAGGCCTACAAATTACACACTGTTTAGCACCATAATATAATAGATGTCTGCTAATGTGTATCATTTGTTTTCAGGGAGAAAATTACAACAACAACAAAAAAAACTACCTGTCCAAAATAGAGGCATGTCACCTTATCATGAGGGCACAGTAAAAAACTTGTTTGTACAGTTTGGAGTGGACAGAAAGTCTTTGAGGGAAAGAGTGAAGGCCAAGATCAAAGTTAATGCTCATCAGGTTGAATGTTCTTGGTACAATCGATGAGCGCTATATAGCAAACACTACTCAAATTCATTTTTTTTTTAAATACGTTGATCTCACTAAATAAATATATTGCGGTTTTATTTCTTTAAAACCAATAAATGTTAATATTTTGTGAATAAATCGTGTGGGCTTTTTTGGAACACATGCAGGCTTAAATGGTGCCAAAGTAGCCTGCCAAGCTTTGCCACACAGATTTTAATAGGTGGTTAGCTATAATAATTCAGGCAGTGTGACAAAGATGTAGGCTAGTTGTGAGTGCAGGTGCGAAGTAAATGAATATTTATGAGATAATATTTCATGGGTAGTGTCACGAATCCGGTCCACGAACTTTCCTATTCATTGACTCTCGCACTACACACTGTTGCACATCACCCGGACTACATTTCCCATCATGCATTGCACTGATTGCACTCAGCACGAATTGCACACACCTGTTTACACTGATTGCACCCAGCTGTTTCATATCACTCCCTCACTATTTAACACTCACTCTGATCCCTTCCCTCTGCCGAGTATTGGTTCAGCGTTTATCACTCTCCTAGAGATAGCTACCTTACGGAGCCCTAGTCATTTGCCTTAGCCCTAGTCATTTGCCTTAGCCTTAGCCCTAGCCCTAGCCCTAGCCCTAGCCTAGCTGTTTTCCCGGTTTCTGATCTTCGCCTGGTTTCCTGGATTTCTCCCTTAGTCTTGCCCCTTCTGACTCTGTCTGCCCATCGTCGACCCACGCTAGCCCTAGGACTGTTCTTGTGTCTTGCCCACCATATACCTGTCTGCCTCTGTTTGACCCTGCCTGCTTCATGACCACGTCTCTGTCTTCTCCACAATAAAGCCTTGCAGATGGATCCGCACGTCTCACGTCTCGTCAGCTCTGTAACAGGTAGGTTGCAGAATTTATACCTACACAAAAGAAAGCTCTGCCAGAAAGTGCACCTTATTATTTTACAAAAGCAATTTGGAACTTTTTTGTTGTTATTGTGGAAATGCAGAAAATAAAGCAGACATTTATATTTATTTTCTCTGTTACCACAATGCAAGGGATTGCGCCGTCGACCCGAGAAGTGCAGTGTTGCGCTTTATATGAGATGTATATTTGCAAGAATTGTAGCCTATGCAACAGCCAAACAGTATGAAGAAACGTTATTGTGACTAATTTGCAGAGCGATATAAACTCTTAGTCTGCGTGATGGGACACAGGCAGTAAAGACAGGCTGAGTTGAAAAGTGGTGTTTCAGGGCCGCTCACGCACAAATGCACAAGCTCTTTTTCTTTTTTCACGAACAAAAAATACGAAAAATCAAGCTTAATTTTCGTTCCGTTTTTCAAACAGAACAACATAATTATAATAATAATAATAATAGCCTAATAATAATAAAATCAAACAGTTTGTCATTTCTCTTTATTTCTTTTTGTTCGTATTTCGATTTGGTGTTAAATCAGACTTAAGTCATTCAAATAAAGAAATATTCCAAGCCCAGTGTTGATTATTTAGAAATAACTGGTTAGATCTAATTTTAAACGAGTCATGTCCTCTGGGTCTGAGTGCAATTATTGGATAGCATTATATTGTAGACAGATTGGAGATTAATCCTGATAAACATGCCGCTACAATAAAAACCATTACATTAAAATACATTTAAACAGCTTATTTCTATTAACCCTCCTGCAGATCCTCATCAGGACTGTCGCGACAGCAGCGCGGACAAGCGCTCTGTAACCATTCTATAACGGGAAAAACACATTGTTTTAATGACGTAACATCTCGTTATTACAAGAAAATATGTTGTTTTAATAACGACATGACATCTCATTATTACGACATAACTGAGCGGGGGGGAAATGCGTGTGGTGTGGCAGTAATGTGTCACCGCAGGACTTGAACCAGTGATCGTGGTGGGTCAAACACTAACAAAAAGGCTAAGGACCATTGCCTCCAAATTCTGTAGCTGCACAGCTTTTAAACATTCTCTGACCTACGTTACCCTATACTATGAACGATTCCTTGTTTTGGAAATTAAATTACTCAAAGCTAATATAATGTCCTGTTATTTATGTACGTAAAAGGTAATAAATTATATAAACACAATGGGGTTGGTATGCTAAAATGCTGTCCATGTAATATTAATAATTACATATAAGTAGGCTATGATAAAGACGTGGAATCGGCCTATGTTCAATGTTAGTAGAGATGAAAATATACAAAAAGTTACTTTGTACATAAATATTTCCTATCATTTCACAGGCACTTCTTCCACTAAAACAATCTGTGGTAAATTACTCTGGTCTGGTTCTGTTCATCATTGATTGGGTGAGAGCAGTTCAATATTACTGGCTGTGGAAATCAGCGGGCGTGGCTCATTATACTACAAGGAAAATGCCGTAAATAACGCGCGCTTTTGTGCAATCAGAACTGCGTTTTTTACGGCATCCTATGGCAAGCCGAACAGCGTTAAAAGCGGCGCTTTTTACAAGCACTAAAATGCCGTTAAATACGGCGTTTTTTACGTCGTCTGCTATCAGGACGGCGTATTTGACGGCGCTATTACTGTTTAAAACGCCGTATTTGACGGTGTTTGGCTGTAAACGGGATTAATCTATAGCGTAATTCTGACCCTTTTGGCTTGCCATAGTTTAACGCGTTGTTGACGCGTTAAAATTCACGTGTTTTTGGCCTTCCATAACAAATCATCCTCATCGTCGTCTAGAGCCGCGCTTCTAGATTTGTTTTACTCATAAATGCTAATCAGCACATGGTTAGCTAGCAGCACAGTTCTTCTGAACATTGTACACAAATACAAACTATATGATATGAAGTAACACACAGAAAAGTGTGCTTAATTGTAGAAAAAAAGGTGTTAGGTAGTGCCTTTCCTTAACGTTACACACAGATTGTCAGACTTTTGAGCACATCTCCAAATGATGAGACCAATGTACTCACTATGTAGCTGTGGGTGAAAGACAGGAATAAATCCTCATAAATGTAGGGCTGCACTTAAAATCATTCTCAGTCAATGAAATAAAACTAAAACATACATGAAAATGACAAAAAGACATGGAAATACTGGGCGCAATTTTATTTCAACATTTACAAAGAATGTATATATATACACACATACATATAAAGCTTACAGATATTTTAAATATTGTTGTGGGTTTCAATAGATCTAAGATTTTAATACTTAAATGCATTTTAAATGTGTTTGTTGATTGTGGGACAGCAGTTTCCACCAATTCTGTAGAATGACCCTTATATAGTTGCACTTGACTATTATATTCGTAAGCATTTTAGGAGTAATTTTAATTGAATTCGTAATATTAAGCGATATAGTGGATATTCTCTCGTTCAGTGTGATTGTGGTGGCTCTTAAAAGAGCCTTTGGGTGTAATGCGGCGGGTTTAAGCGCGCTCTCCGCGGATGCGGCGGGCCAGCTGGATGTCTTTGGGCATGATGGTGACTCTCTTGGCGTGGATGGCGCACAGATTGGTGTCCTCAAACAGACCGACCAAATAAGCCTCGCTGGCCTCCTGCAGGGCCATGACAGCGGAGCTCTGGAAGCGCAGATCCGTCTTGAAATCCTGAGCGATTTCTCGGACCAGACGCTGGAAAGGCAGTTTGCGGATCAGCAGCTCGGTGGACTTCTGATAGCGGCGGATCTCTCGGAGAGCCACGGTCCCGGGCCTGTAACGATGGGGCTTCTTGACGCCGCCGGTGGCTGGGGCGCTCTTCCGGGCGGCTTTTGTAGCGAGCTGCTTCCTCGGGGCTTTGCCACCGGTGGATTTACGAGC